TTTGTTCATTTTTAATTCAGATTCGTGACAGAAAAATTTTGTGAAGCATTAAACAATGATCTCCTATTGGATGATTCCCAACATTAAACGTCATCTGTTTCACTGACTATTTCGGTAAGGAGAAAGAAGTTGTTGGTCACAGTGTGTGCTGCGAGAAGATATGTCGTTTGTTAGTCATGCTCCTTTAATAATATTTTAAGATTTTGGAACGTTTCCTATAAGCTCGGACTCGGATTTTATTCAAATCAAACTTTGTACTTTTCGAATTTTGCTCAAGTGTTAATCTGCCCTATAATTCCTTTTAATACTGATATCAGGAGCCCATCACGGGTTCCTGTGGATATTCATTTTAAATTGAACCTCGTACCTTTGTACACGGTTCTTTGTTCGATGTTCTTTTGTACTGAACTTTGTACTTTTCAACTTTTGCCCATGTGTTAATCTCTCCTTCCATAATTTCTTCTGTTAGATGTTCATTTTAAATTGCACCTGGTCCTTTTGCACTTGTGTTCTACTTCTTTTCAGTGGGAGGTTCTCACGGCTGTCAGTCACTAAGTGTAACAAATAAATCGCGATAGTAAGTAGGATTTTTAATTAAGAATCGTAATTTCGAAAAGAATAATTCAAGCACCTTTGTGTATAGGCAAGCTATATATTACAAATGATTTTCGATTTCATCGTTGTTTGCATTGATACATTTATGGTATCGACGATCACAAGTAAAGTTATGAAAAACTACTCAGTTCAGTGGAACCAAGTCCTGTTTCATTCTTGATGTCCGTAAAGAAGACCATTCACTATCAGGAGCCCATGTTACTGTTAGATCTCCGTCTACCAGGAAATCGTTACGAGTTTGCTTGCCCGCAAGGCATATGGTGCTCTACAGAGCGAAGTTCCCACAGGTTTTTGCTTGTTCCCCGCACTCGGCACACATCTCCATCTGAGAGTACAAATGGGTATAGGTACCAGTTCCCTGGTCCACATGCGCCGTTTTATTTCGCCGGTGAAGGGTGAGAAATAGGGAGCGCAGTTAGGCAGCGACAGCATAGCAACTGGCTTAAAGCTCTACGCGCGCGGTACTCCAACCAAAGAAGAAAGCCTAGGGATGAGGCAGGGGCCGGCAGGGGTCCCGGAGGGGCCATTCTAACAAAATGCAAGGGGTAACTCTGCAGTAGACCAGGGGCCTATCAGAGTAGACTAGCGCCGCACACTGTTGCTTTTTGCTGGGGAAACCGGCGGAATGATTAAGCAAATATTTGCCAACCTATTGTAGTTGCCCTTTAATTTTTCGACTCGCCTCGCGCAGCAATCGTAGGCGCGGCAATCGCTCGTGCTCAGCCCCCTTAAAATCAATGGTAGCGTTTCCTGACCGCTGGTGAAGTAGGACACGGGCTCATGCCTCAAGTTTTACTCCCCTAACGCGCACTCTCGGAAAGGAAACGATCAAAACCGAGCATTTCACCCGGGACTGCACGAATGCGATAAGCCCAGTGTAAAGAATGATCCGATCAATGAGATTGAAATTTTCCAGACAAATAGATGAAGAAGGTAACATCATAAATATTCTTGTTCTTTGGCCATAATTTCGATTTCGGAAGGAAAAGAAAGCAAACAGCGGTTACAAACATTACAAATAGACAACGCACGGTTTAAAAAACTTAACTGTATTGACTTGACGTTTCGTGTTTATCTGAACATGAATTGTTCCGCTGATGATCCGATCAATGATGTGGGTCCACTCTGTTCGGAATTCATAAAAAGTGATTTTCCATCACCGCGAAAGCGTGATGTTTGTCATATCCTGACAAGTGATGCACAGAGAAGCTGTCGATGACGAGATAAGGGTTATCAAAATTCCCAGTTTGTCAAGACAAGATGGCCCCGCGAAGGGCAATTAGGAACGAACACGCTATTAACTTCCTGAGATGTTCCTAATCTTTCAATTTACCGCGGGTTTTCTTTTTGTTCTAGTGTTAAAACGTTGTTTCACCTTCAAAAAAACCATGGATATTGTCCCTAGAGATCGAAGAACAAAGCAATACGGACGCGATTTTGAGTTCAGATAATCAAATTCAACCAAATCAGCTCGTATCAGTGATAAATGAACGTTTGGTAGTAGGAATGTGATGAAAGGGTTACGCTTTGGCGCATTCTGTGGTGTCAGGTGTCCCTCGCCATATACAGGTTATATGGCATGACATTCCTACATGATGTCATTCGGCGGAGAAGAGCGCGCGCGTACAGTAAGAAATTATCTTGTCGGCGATCGCGGAGTTACTGTTTTGTGTGTTTGTCGCGTCCGAGAAGCTATGAACAGTTGTTTATACCAACTGGAGTAGATTGGTGAATTTAAAGGAAAAACTGTTTAACTATTGAAAGAGGTGCGCTCGGCTGACGTAAAGGTGGACTAATTGAAGTTACATTTTGGAGCAAACTTCGAGAGTATTGGTGAAAAGATTACCATAGGAAGTATGATTCCTCTGAAAAAGGCGCAGAAGAAGAGCAAATCTGCGAAACACGACAATCCCGAAAAACGGCTGAAAAACAAGACCAAACTTCCTCTCAAAAAGACGAACAGTGCCAGTGTATCAGACACGCTCAACAAGCGGGTCGATGTCACCAGAATACGCAATCGAAAGTCATCTTGTCCGGAGATACTACTTCACAATACGGGACTCGATGGCAAGGAACTTCCCGAGCTTTTCAAGCTGATAAAGATCGGCGAGGCCGACTTACAGTCGCTCGCCACGAAAGGGATTTTTCCACTCCACGAAGCAGTGGCCAAGGGTCTTACGGACTGCGCTAAGGTGCTCATTGAGAAGGCGACCACCATAAACGTGCGGAATGCCGAAGGATTTTCGCCCTTGGATGTAGCTGTGGAAACGGGGAATTTTGAGTGCGCCGAGCTGCTGATAAGACACGGAGCGTCTACTGAAGACATCAGACATGGTTTCAAATTAAGGTCAAGGACTTTACGTAAGGTATCCAGTTCTACCTAAACTCGTGCTATCAAGATTATACATATGCCAAACAGTCGCTTTACGCGCAGTATGTATTACCCTAGTGGGGGGAGGGGGGGGAATCCCATGTAACAAGGACGGGGGTGCTCGTCGTACCTTTTAGC